TACTAGCTTTGTGACCCTGGGCAAGTCACTTAAACCCGATTGCCTCAAAAAAAAAAAAAAAAGACATCATCAACCCTAGAAGACTTGGAAGAAACTCAGGAAAAGTGGGGCCAACTTGGGGACTATGCCAACTTCCCCCCTATATGGGGAAAGAGGGTGGGGCTGCAGAAGAAAAGGATTAGGAATCAGTAAATACTTTGCTTGGTTTGGCTCCAAAAGGCAGAATTGGGAGCATGCGTGAGCTAGGAAAGGGAAGGGGAATTGTAGAGGCAAAGGCAGATTTCAGGCCCCAGAGGAGAAGATTTCCTAACAATTAAGAGTTGCCCAAAAATGCATTGAGCTGCTATGAAAGGCAGTGAGCTCCCCATCAAGTGGAAGCTGGATGTCTACATTTGGAAAGCTGCAGAAAGGATTCTTTGTTAAAAGCATCATGGTCTTAGGAAAGAGCAGTGGATTTGAGGTCCAAGGACCTGAGTTCAAATCCTGGTTCTTCTCTTTACTACCTGTGTGGCTTTTAGGGGGTCACTTCCCCTTCCTGCAGAAGGAGAGGGTCTCTCTCTGGAGAGTGAGTTACGATGACCTCTAAAGTCAGTGTGTCTGTGTGTCTTGGGTTTCTTTGGTGACTTGTGGAGGCCTCAGGGGTAGGGAACCTGTTTCCCATCTAGGCTTTTCCCAGAAACATGTTTTAAATACATAGGATTACCAAGGAAGCTGATTCTATGGAATCACAATTGTCAAATTCAATGGAACTGCACCGACATTCCCAGAGGCACTCTGGGTCCCTCATATCTGGAGGGAATCCCAAGGTACTTAACACATCCCAGGTGCCTCCTGGGCTCCACTCCTGGGGCCCTTGCTCTCTAAGCATACCCACTCACTCTCCCTTCCCCCTACTAACGACTGGACCTCTCACTCCTTAAAACTAGAACTGTGTCATAGATTATGGTTAAGTGGGCCCATCCAGGTTCAAAAAGCATCAATATTATTAAGGAGGGAGGTCTCTAGTGGACTGCCAAAGGGATCTGACTTTGACCCTGTACAAGATGCCATTTTAATCAATTTGGCTGAAGGCAGAGATGGCATGTGTTTTAGACCTGCAAAGGACACAAGGCTGGGAGGGAAAGCTCACCCACTAGATGACAGTTACTCTCCAAAGTGATCTGAAAAAGGGAGGGAGGCTAAGATGAATGAGATCAAGCTTGCTAGGGGGTAAATAGAAAGCCAAAGAGATGACTTATGTGAAAGCTTCTCTTGGGACTTCAAAAAAGCAGCTGCAAAGTATTCACAACCACCTGAAAAAAAAATGCTCTAAATCACTAATAATAAGAGAAATGTATATCCAAACAACCTCGAGGTTTCACCTCACATCTTGTAAACTGGCAAAAATGACTCAAAATGGCAACAATCCATGTTGGAGGGGTTGTGGAAAGAGAGGCACACTGGTGCATTGTTGGTGGAGCTGCGAAATACAACAACTAATTTTTTTCTTTTTTTTTTTTTTTGGCAGTTGGGGTTAAGTGACTTGCCCAGGGTCACACAGCTAGCAAGTGTCAAGTGTTTGGTCTCAGGCCAGACTGGAACTCAGGTCCTCCTGACTTCAGGGCCAGTGTTCTATCCACTGCGCCACCTAACTGCCTGGAAATACAACAACTATTTTAGAAAGCAATTTGTTTTTGTTTGTTTGTTTGTTTTAGTGAGGCAATCAGGGTTAAGTGACTTGCCCAGGGTTACACAGCTAGTAAATATCAAGTGTCTGAGGCTGGACTTGAACTCAGGTCTTCCTGACTCCAAGGCTGGTGCTCTATCCACTGCACCACCTAGCTGCCCCAGAAAATAATTTGTAATCACAAAAATAAAATGACCAAGCCATCCATACACTTTGAACTAGAGACTCCATTAGTGCCTTTTCCGCCAAGGAAGCCATATACTCCAAAGTAAATGGAGTCCCTATATAGTCCAAAATATTCATATCAGCACTTTTTGTGATGGCTAGATGGATGCCCATCAATGGAGAATGGCTAAACAAGTTACAGTGCGTGAATGGAATGAAATATTCCCACATTGTGAGAAACGTGTGTGATAAATACAGAGAAGCATGGGAAGATCTATCTGAACTGATACAGAGTAAAATAAGCAGAGCCAAGCAAACAATATATACAATAATGACAACAATGTGAAGGCGATGAAAAATGACACACAAAAATTAAAATTAAGTGTAACAAAATTATAAAGACCAAGCGGGACAGCAATGAAGAGAGTTGAGGAGACAGCCCCAGCCTATGCCTTAGTGGAGATGGCAGGTCCACAGGTGTTACCATTGCACATGGCGACTTTCACAACGTATCCATCAGTTGTGTGGATTTTTTTCCTCTCTAAAAAATGCTATTTGGGAGATAGCTAGGTGGCGCAGTGGATAGCGTACTGGCCTTGGAGTCAGGAGGACCTGAGTTCAAATGTGATCTCAGACCAGATACTTGACACTAGCTTGTGACCCTGGGCAAGTCACTAAACCCCAATTGCCTCACCAAAAAAAAAAAATACTGTTTGTCACATGAGATGGCTCTCAGAGAAGAGAAGGGGGAAAGATACTGAGGATAACTATGATGATGTAAGAAATAGAGGGCATCAATAAAAAACTTATTTTTTAAAAATCAGTTGTGCATGCCTAGGCACAGCTTGTAGGAGGCATGGTTTGAAAGCCGTTGATAGGAAGATCTGGGGAGTTTCAATATGAGTCAGCAGGGTTAGAAAACAAGCAAGAAAGCAGATGTAAACTGAGGCTGCATTAAGAGAAACAGGTATTCGAACTGGGGCACAGGGGGATAGAGGTATTGTGGGGTGATGGAAAGAACCATAAGAGAAGCAGGTTCACAGCTAGATGGCGCAGTGGATAGAGCACTGGCCCTGAAGTCAGGAGGACCTGACTTCAAATCCAGCCTCAGACCAAACACTTGACACTTACTAGCTGTGTGACCCTGGGCAAGTCACTTAACCCCAATTGCCTAAAAAAAAAAAAAAGAAGAAGAAGTGGGCTACTACCAGTGTGACCTCCTGGGCCTCAGTTTCCTCATGTGTAGCATGACAGGCTTGAACTAGATGACCTCTAAGTTTCCTTCCAGCTCCGAATCTATGACTCTATGGCCCCAGTCAGAGTACCGCTGAAACATTGTGTTTGATTCTGGGTGAAAAGTTGGAGAGTGTCCAGAGGAGGGTGTGCAGGCTGGTGAAAGGATTGGAGACTGTGATTGAGAAAGACCACCCCAGGAGGTAAATGCACAAGCAGGGGGGTACTGATGCCTGCTCCAACTGCCTCAGGAGAGCTGATTGTTAAATGTTCAGTATGAGCAGGAGTGCCTCAGAAACCAGCAAATGCTACACATCAGAGCTTGGTTTACTGTTTATTACCTAGATTATGTAGACTTAAGCAAGTGATGGAGAAAGTGCTAACAAAGCTGATTGAACTTAATCCAACGAACCTCTTGTCCAATATTTACTAGCATACTCCTAGGCACTGGAGATATTGAGCCTGGAGAGAAGTAATGTCTCCCATTGACACAGTCAGGGCAAAGGAGTGCATAATGCACTCAATCAGATGCACAGGAAACTGCATCTCTGAAGCTCATGCTTCCTGAGCTGTGAAATGGGCGTAATAGTACTGATGGTACTGAGGAGTCAGAGGATTTAGAGCTGGCAGGTGCCAAGAAAACTTCTAGTCCAGGCCTGCACAGTCTGTGGCCCTGTAGACCTGATTTAGGCTAACCCTGTTTTTAGGAAACTGAGGCTCAAAGAGTGTAAGGGGATTTGCCCAAGGCCACGAAGCTAGTAAGTTGGAGGCAGGATTCAAACCCATATCCTCCACTCCCAAGCCAGAACTCTCACCACTGTAGCCCATCGCCCTAAAAGTGCTTTGGAAACATGGGCCATTGGACAGAGCACTGGCCCTGGAGTTAGAAGGACATAGTTCAAATCTGGCCTCAGACACTCACTAGCTGTGTGGGCCTGGACAAGTCACTTAACCCTGATTGAAAGAAAGAAAGAAAGTTATTATTACGTTTCCCAAGAACAGTCCTAGGGCAAAGATAGCAGTTTCTGTTCTCTCCTCTGTAAAGGAAGGGTTTGGATGAGATGATCCCTAAGGTCCTTCCCAGCTGTAACTACGAGATCTGAACCCTTTTCTTCATTGCCTTCTTTCTCTGTAAGGCACCACCTTCCTTTTGGACTTCCTTTGGGTGACTACCCAAGTGCAGATCCCGGACTCCAGGGGCTCACCTCTGCCCCCTCCTTCACAACATCCCCATCCAGGCACATGCCAATCCTGCTTCCCCAGGATCTCTCCCATCCGGACCCTTGTCTCTGCCTACCCAGTCAGCAGGCCCGATGGGCTCATCAGCTCTGGTCTAGACTACTGCAGCTGGCTTCTTATTGGTCCCCCTGCATCCAGGGTCTGTCTCCTGTCTCCGGTCCCTCCTAATACCGTCAAAGTGAGGTTGGTAAAAGAGGTGTCTCCTTCACTCCCCAGCTTAAGCAACTCCAGGGGCTCTCCGTGGCTTCTAGGGTCAAATACAAACACAATGCCTTGGCCATCTTTTCTCCCTTTCATACACTCTTCAGTTCAAACCAGAAGGCTGTGCCTCCTAAGCTCGGCTTCTTAGAATCCCTACCTTTGGACTCCCTGCCTTCCTTCTAAGCCCAGGGCAAGTTCGGCCGCCCTCCTGGGGCCTTTCCTCACCCTAGTGCCCCTGCCCACTCCTTTTGTGCACACCTTGAATTACTCCTTTGGTACCTACACCTCTGTGGACTCGGGATACTCAGCCCCCGGTCGAAAGTGTGTCCTCGGTTAGGAATACATGTCACTCCCCTCCCCTCTAATTAGACTGCGTGGGAACTGGGGTTCTGCCCTTCTCTGTATCTCCAGTGGCCAACACACAGTAGGCGCTTAATAAGTGCTGGTTGACCTGACTTAGCTGCCTGCCTGGCTAACAGACATCAAACGTACCCACCTTTGTTGCGCAGACTCTCCCATTCCGCAGGTGGGGAAGCTGAGGCTGGGATGGGGTAGCCCCGTCTGCCGGGCCTCCCAGCCGCCTGATCCCCTCGCCCTCGGTGTCGCCCGGACCCCTGGCCATCCTTCGGAGCTGTCTCGGCCCCGCCCTCTTCGAAGGCGGGGCCAGGGGAGGGAAGGGGTGCGGCTTCCCAGGCTGTGCTGGCAGCTCCGGCAGGCAGGAGGGGGTCCAGCGATCTGAACAGAGCCGAGCAGAGTGGTGGGCAACTCGTTCTGGGCGGCGCCATGGGGAGCCAGCTGAGCACGGTAGGGGAACCGGGAGGGAGGGGGGAATCAGGCCTGGGGGCCTGCTGTGACCTTGAAGGTTAGGGGCCAGGGTCTCGGGGCTGGGGGACCCTCCCCCGTCCCCAAAGCCGGGGGCTAGGGCTGGGGTCGAGGAGCGGCAGAGGGAGGAGGAGGAGGCGGACGCCTTCTAGGGGGTCCCCTGGGCCCCGCCTTGGGAAGCTGGGCCTGGCGGCTGAGGAGGACCCCTTCGGCCGCGCCCTGCCCCTCCCGGGGCCCCAGTCCCGCTCGGTGACTCATCTTTCTCCCCTCCCCGTTCCCTGCTGCGGGCCGCATCTTTCTGGTCCCTGGCCCGGGGACGGTGTCCCTGGGGAAAGGAGAGCGGCGGCTGCTCTCTGTGCCAGATCCGCGCAGACTCCGTCATTCGCCCCTCTGCCTGCTCGCCAGAAGTGGGGGATGGGCGAGGGGTGGCTATCATGCACCAGCGGAGGGCCGTGCCTTCTCCTGTCTCTCCCTTAACCCAGCCTACTCCCCGAAGCTGCCAGAGCTGGCCCTCCGACTCTTGCTCCGGAAGGAGAAACTGAGTCCTGGAGATGGGGAAGGGACTTGACCAAGAACCACTCCCCCCAGGGTGCTGAGAAGCCCCCAAGCTAGGGCGTGGTACCCACGCCCCGGGCCTCCTTCCTGGGTTGCCCCTGCTTGGCCTCCCAGGGAGGAGGACAGTGCCCAGGGCCCTGAGGCTTGGCCGGGCTCACGGGAACTGGAAGGGACCCGCGAGGGCTTCAGTGCCCAGCACAGCCGCCCTCCTGACCCAGCCGGTGCCCGCGGGTACCCTGTGCTTCCGGGGGGCAGCCACCTGTCACTGCAGGAGGCACCAGTTGTCACTGGGCCGCCACCTCCAAGACTCAGTTATTCTTAGCTCTCCCCAGCGGAGGCGGAGGCCCAGCTTCATCTGGCCTCTTTTACAATTTCCTCCGGAGGCGCCTTGCGCTGCCCTCGGGGGCCAAGCCGAGCTAGGCTGGTCCTGGAGCTGAAGGGAGCCCTGGAGGCCATCTTGTCCAGCTAGCACCTCCTTTTACAGACGAGGAAACTGAGGCCCGGGGAGCTCCAGTCACTCGCCCTCAGCACAGGCAGCACTTGAACCCGGGGCTCTGCTTCCAGTCAGGGCCTTGCTTTTCCCTTTCTATTCTATCACCCAGCCTCCAAGTCTCGTCTATTTGACGGACGCTCCAATAATCCGGACGGAGTCGCGCCCCTGCCCTGCCTGCCCTGCCCTCCGCACGCACTTCTCCCTTCCCTCACTTAAGGCGTTTCTCTCTCGACAGGGGGTGGGGCTGAGGGCGGGGCTGCCGTGCTGGGAGACTGGAAGCCCGTCAGTCGGCCTAGGCTTCATGCCCAGTGTCTTTGCCCCACGATTGGGCCCTTCCTTCCCTGTCCTGCCAAGCCCATGTAGGGCTCCAGAGCCCTGGCTTCCAGCCTCCCAGCCTCCCGGCAGCACACCCCTTCCCCCATTTCCTGTGTCTAGTAACCTCCTGAAATCTTAGTTTAGGAATCTGTAAAATGGAGATGATAACTAATGTCCCCTTTTTGTGACCCTCGAAGTAGATTGCAATGCTGGCTTTTTAATATACCAATGTCCCCTGTTCTGCTTCTTCTCAGACTGCTCTGGGATCTCCTGGATGTGGGGATGCCCTCTGCTGACGCCTTGCATTGCACTGGCATCCATGCCCACCCAACCCCTGTGACTCCCCTCTGACATTTCCTGAGTTTTCTGGAGGGCTGGATTTCCTCAGTTTCCCCAATCTGGAATATATCCATGGAGAAGGAGGGGGCTGTCCATTCAATCTGCCTCCTGTCTCCGGTCCTGTGACCAGCTCATCTCCCCCTACTGTTGTCCCTTTCCTTGATTTCTCACTCTTAGTCCTGGTCAGTTCCTGCTTTCTCATCTCGGTCACTAAAGGTCCCCTAAACCTCACTTGCTCGCTCATAGAAAAGGGGCTCTCTTCTACCCAGCAGCTGTTTTGATTGAGGGCCAGTCACTTTGGAGTTAGTTGGCCTCTGGGGGGAGATCTCAGGGTGATTAAGACACAGCAACACACACTGGGGGATGAGGGAGACTGCATTTGGTAGCGGTAGGGGGGCCTAGGTTCCAACAAGCCCTGTCACTACCTGTGAATCCTCAGCAAATCCTTTAACCAGTGGTGTGCTTTTAAATGTTTAACAACTGGCTCTCCAGAAAAATGTACCCATAACTCATAACCTTTAAGTTAAATCTGTTAGTAACATTTTTTCTATGCTTTCTTAAGTCTAGACAATAAACAAATCCCATAAATCAAGCCGTGATTTGTGGCATTTGCCAATTTCCAAGGTGTGCAAAACTCATACTGAAAATGGAAGTCTGTCCTTCCTAGGAACTGGTTCCAGCATACCTCTGCCCTTAACCCTCTCTGGGCCTCAGTTTCCCCCTGCGTAAAATGAGATCTTCCAGCCGTTATCCCAGGAACTAGATTACAAAAGAGAGCATGAACAATTTAGGGAGGACATGCCCTCTGCTATCACGTGAGGCCCAAGGGTGGAAAGATATTTGCCCACTGGGCATCAGGGAAAGTTTCATCAGTAGCTAGAGTTCTGGGTCTGAAGTCGGGAGGACCTGAGTTCCGATCAGACCTCAGACACTTACTAGCTGTGTGACCCTGACCTTGTTTGCCTCAGTTTCATCATCTGTAAAATGAGTTGGAGAAGAAAATGGCAAACCGCTCCAGTATCTTTGCCAAGAAAACCTCCAGTGGGGTCATGAAGTCAGACTCGACTGAAAATGACCTCAACAACACAACCCCCCACTCTACCTTTAATTGCATGTATGACTTCACACGTCCTAACCTCAGTTTCCCCATCTGTCCAACAAGGAGGTGGTGTGTATACATCTTGTTTCTCTGCTTCGTTTTTTTCTTTGCATCTCCAGGGCCTGGAACTGTACACCTGTCCGTGCCTAATGCGTGTTTGTTGATTGATTGACTGGGTGACTTCAGCTGTGCCTTTTTCTGTCCAAAGTGTCTCGAGTAGAGCTAGGGAGGGGCCCTGGAAAGGGGTGAGCTCTGGTCGGGTGTGGCCAGCTTTTGTTTCTGCAGAAGCTGCCTGGGGCTTTGGAAAGAGGGCTGAGGGATCTGGTGAGACGTCCACTCTCTCTGCCTTCCCCTCCTGACTGGGCCTGGCACGTGCCCTGCCCTCCTCAAGTCGCTGACAAAGCCTGTCGCAGCTTACCTGGCCTATGGGTGACAGCCTGAAATCGGGCTTAGGACGATGGATTCTGGAGCCAGAAAGGACCTTCCTACATTCTGTTGTTGTTCAGTTGAGTCTGACTCCCCACGACCCCATTTGGGGTTTTCTTGGCAAAGATACTGGAGTAGCTTTCCATTTTACAGAGGAGGAAACTAAGGCAGAGAGAGGCTATACGATTTACCCAAGATTCCATAAGTGAGATGTGGTTTAGAGGTCAGATGACTCAAAATTCAATCAATTGAGCATTTATTTAAGCTCTGTGATACTTCTTCTCCCCTCTTTGTCCCGCCCGTCCTTTGCCCCATTCCCTCTTGTATCATTTTTCTGTGTACCTACTTGCTCTGAGAGGCAGCTTGGCATAGTGGACTGAGGGCCTGAAGTAGAGTCGGGGGAGATCTCGGGGGCGATCTCGGGGGCTTAGGAGTAGCCGTGGAACCTTGGATCTGGCAACACTCTGTCAGTTGTAGATAGGATGTGTCCATTAAGGAGGCCTGGGTTCTGTATACTTTTCCTACAGTAAATGGGAGGAGGTCGGGCACTTTGGGCCCTTTTAAAGTGATCTTGGGGATAAGCACAGTGATGGGGGAGGCCTGATGAGCTGGCACAGGGGGCATTCCTTAGAGTCATGCGTTAAATGTTCATGGCTAACAATTGCTTTAAAATTTTATTGCATTTTTATTGATACTTTTTGTTTTTTACATCACACTGATCATACCTCGAGAGCCTTCTTCTTCAAATAACTGAGACCAAAAAAAAACAAAGACATTTTTCTCATGTATTAATGAGTTGACTACGTCTCAGTCTCCTTTTCTCCTGGCCTTTCTGGGTCATCCTGACTCATCCATCCATCCATCCTGGCTTACTAGGTTATTTTGCAGAGTGAGAGATGGGTAGGTTTTTGGAAACTGCTCCCTCCTTCACAAAACCCTCCCAGATTCCCCCTCCCTCCCCCCCCCTGTCAAAAGTAATCTTTCTCCGTCTCTCTGTCTCTCTCTCTGTCTCTCTCTCTCTCCCCCTTCTCTCTCTCTCTCTCTCTCTGTTTTTCTCTTCTCCCCCTCTTTCTTCATTTCTCCCTCTTCTCCTTGCTCCATAACCCTCTCTCTCCCTCCTCTTTCCTTTCTGTCTCTCTCTCTCTGTCTCTGTCTCTCTCTCTCCATATTTCCTGTAGTGTTAAGACTAGACCTCTCATTAACTAACCCCTGTCCTACAATGTCTGCTATTATAGTTATTTCTGTATACAACTCATCCCTCAACAGACCAAGCCCATTAGAGTGTAAGCTCCATGAGGTCAGGGACTGTGGTTTTCCACCATTGTATCTGAGCACAGGGCCTTTTGTGTACAACTTAACAATAAAGTATTCCATACTGTGTTATTATGATGACCAAGTCTGGCCCAAGAAAAATAGAGAAAATGTGTCACTCATTGAGGGGGCGGGGAGCCTACAGAGAAGAAATAATGTGCCTACTTTCAGATTTTTTTATTGTGTTGCTTAATTTCCCAAAACGCCCTCCACACCCCGCCCCCCTTTTTTAAGTTTCTTTTCCTCTGATTCTTTGTTGCAAGGGATCGGGGAGGGATATGTTCTGAAATGAAGGCTCTCTCTCTCTCTCTCTCTCTCTCTCTCTCTCTCTCTCTCTCACTGTCTCTGCCTCTCTCTCCGTCTCTCTGTCTCTATCTCTCTGTTTCTGTCCTCTCTCCCTCCTTCTCTCTCTCCCTCTCTTTCCTTTCCTGTTCTAAGGCCCCT